AACTTTTGAAAGAGGCAAGCATAAAATTAGTTTAAGGGACTGTTACCGAAAATTTTACTGGTCTTGCATTAGTGTAAATAATAAATGATTCATAGTGGTATCCTTTATCCTAAAGGTAGAAGAATTTCTATCTAAAATTAAACTATTTTCGACCAAGTTATTGCTTCCCCTTTCAGAATAAAACTGCATTTGATTTAAATAATTTTCAGATAATAAGAAAAATAATCGCCATAATTAATGTGTTGAACGATTTAACGGGAATTATTATTAATTTTAATCAACACACTTTTAATTAAGAGTTATTGTAATTTGTAAGTTTTATAAACAATATCTCTAAAAATAGTATTAGTCAAATAGATTATCAAGTACAATAGGTGGCAACAGAGAAATTAACCAATTATACACAACGTCACAAGTGTCAAATATAACAAGGACAACGAAATTTTCTCACATTATTTGACATGTTTCCCAAGATTAAATAAAAAAGTGTAAAAACAGAAACTAAAGAACACATAAAATTGCACTTATTTTACTGTAAGAAAAGCACTTTATTCTAAAATTATCACTATTATTGATGATTTTGTCGGACACAAAACTGATTTGACACTTGTGACGACAGAATACAACTGTACTGAGAGTGTACAAATTCTACGTTGCCATCTATTGTACTAGAATCTGTTTGGTATTAGTTAAAATTGAAAAAAACAAAACAATAATAACACTAAATGTTAAAGAAAATAAGATAGTACAAATCGTTCTGTGGTATCCTAAATATGTTTTTTTTCCTTTGTCTATGTATTTAATAATATAAAGATCATGTATTTTTAAACATTTTGTTTCAATTAATTTAGTTTTTAGTTTTTAACATTTTTTAATTGAATGCTTAAAAATCAATAGTATAAATCTGTCTTGAGTTACCAAAGTATGCTTTATTTCTTATGTCTCTTTGATAATATGGAAAACGTGCCTTCAATTTTAAACGTTTTATTTAACACTAGCTGAAGTGCCCGTTTTTTTAAATTTTCACTGTATAGTAAATACCTTTAGTGTCCAGAAGACAAAATTGGGTCGAAAACTAAAAATTGTGAATCCAGGCCTCAACTAAGGTTTTATTGTAATTAATTGAAAAAAAAGATCAGGAGCGAAGAGCTTTATCATTTAGATGAATTTTTTTATTTTTTTTTATTTTTTTGAATTAATGTTTTTTCCTTAGGTAAAAGATGAGCTCTACGTTTCTGGCGGAAGGATAAGTTTAGGTAAAAACAAATATTTTGTTATTTTAACTTTAAATTTTTTTCTGCTGTTTGAATATTCCATTGTCTTAATTCGAACTCATTTAAACTAATATTAGCTCTTAAAGATGTCCGTTAGGGCTAGTATGATGGAAACTTTCCGTAATGATATATCACCATTGCGTTTTAATCTACCACTAGTTATGTTTTTTATGTTTTTTTTCGCCCAAAATAGCGTTTTTTGCCGACAAATGACGTTTTGACCATTTTGGTTACGTTTTATACTAGCTATATAGTGATCTTGAATTTAAATATTTTTACCGTATCTTGCTCTCAGTCCCTTTCTGGACAGTTGTTTCTATAAACTACGTGAACAATCCCTTGAATTGCTTTTTTATTTTTTTTATTTCAGTTGAGATTGCTAGTGCGCTGAATGTTGATTTCAGTCATATTGAGCAGACTGCTCTGCAGATTGCTAAATCTGATCGAGAGACCCATCTTGTCCTAGGTGGGTTAAAGAAACTCTACACACTTGTTTGCTGATTCCATTAGCGCCTGATCCAATCAGGGTTCAGTCATGTGTTTGTTGTCTATTCTGAACCAATAAAAATTGTGTTGCGGTAACATATATCTTTCTATCTATCTCATTATCCAATTAGAGATATGAATCCTTTAGTTAATGAAAATATTTACTTCTACTTCCAGGCATAGTGTTCAATCAAGCCTCCATTTAAAGAGTGGCATGTCAGATTCAAAATGTTTCCCTTTTAACCTTCATCTAAGCTAAAATGAGCAAGATTTTTATCTGGAAGAGAGTCGAATTATGACTTATTTTATGGCTTAAAGGATACTGTTGTTAATAGGACATGTCGGTCTATAAACGGAGGCTCACTTTAACTTTAGTCTTAAGTCCTTCTAAATACAGTTTTTTATATTATTTGAATTCATAAGTGTGAGGAACAAATAGTTTTTTTGTTGATTAATTTCTTTTTTTTTCATTCTAAAATAAAAAAATCTCTTTTTAAAAACAAAATCCTTTTTTAAGGTCGTAATAATCCTTTCTTCAAAACCCAGAACTAAATTTTGTTAAATTGTTTACTTTTGAAGTTTTTTAAAACAGTAATATAATTTGACTCTTAAGTTTTATTGTTTCCGAGTTCCCCATCATTAAAGTTGACTTTCTTATTATCTTTACATCGTTTTTAACCAAATCCTTACCCTACTTTCTATCACTAAATTTACAGTATTTTCTTCTCAATATATTTTGACAAAAACTTTGGCACAGGAGTTTGTCTAAAAATATTACATTTTTCGAAATGTCTTCTTTAAACAAACAACAGATATAGCAAAAAAAAATCAAAAAACGATGAGTAAATAAAATGAATAATACAAACAAAACAAATTGATTAAACAAAGAAAAAAACAAAAGAAAATTTTGTTACCTTTACAAAAAGGATTTTGTCAAGTGAATAGGTTTAAAAAAATACAACTTAAAAAGTCAAGTAAATAATTTGTTATTTTTATTTTTTTTTATTTTAAACTATATTTTTGTGCAGGTCAGCTTGTATCCTACCACTACCTGGATAACCTGGCTAGGCAGATTAACGAGAACTTGCAGCAGAAAGGTAACGTTTAGTGCGCAGGATAAATTATGATGCCGCGTTTACTATGATGCGCTATTGCTTTCTGATGTCGTGCATGAGGCCTCTCTGCATGGAAAAACCTCCCCCTAAATTTTTATCCCATTTCAAGACAATGTTAGACATAAAAAGCAATATTATGACATTGTCCAATATTTATTAAATGTATTTTGATTGGAAAACAAAGAGACTGCAGGAATGACAATTTTTTAGTATTATTAATTTAATTCATGAAAACTTAGTTTCTACTCCGCATTTGGTATTTATCTATATAATAAAACAAGACATTCGTATATATATATGTTGCCTATAGTCGGCCAAACGGCTGGACTGATTGGGCTGAATTTTTTTGTTTATACTCACGGGCAACGTCGGGCCCATCAGCTAGTAAGTTTATATTTAGAAAACTAAATACTTCAATTGTGAATGTATTAAGCTAATCTTTAAATATGTTTACAGTTTGTCTTTTTATTCTGTGATATTTTAGTTTTATTTTGTGATTATTTTGTTTTATTTTATAATTTTGCAGGAACCATCTCTATTCCATCTCTGACTAAGGAGTATGATCTACCAACAGAATTCCTAGTTGATGAGGTAATGGAATATATAATTCCTAGTTGATAAGGTAATGGAATATATAATTCCTAGTTGATGAGGTAATGGAAAATATAATTCCTTGTTGATGAGGTAATGGAATATATAATTACTATTTGATGAGGTAATGAAATATATAATTCCTAGTTGATTAGGTAATGGAATATATAATTCCTAGTTGATGAGGTAATGGAATATATAATTCCTAGTTGATGAGGTAATGGAATATATAATTCCTAGTTGATGAGGCAATGGAATATTTGCGAAATAAATAAATTGGCAAGAATATACGGGAACAGTTTAAAGAGCTCCATATAATCATTTAACTAAAAAAACTAATTATCTGTAACATTAGCAGAAAGTGAAGAATACGACATTTGATGAATTCTTTCGATGTATAGCTTATATAGGGTTTAACTACAGTATTGTGGAGAAATTTTAGGATTAATTTGAGACTTATAAAACGTTTCAATAATGTATAATTACCGAGTTTGAGCTCTAAGTCGACGTTCAAAATCTTTCATTTGGGTGGTTACGTTTAGAGAACTGGTTTTTTTCAATTATTCAATAAACAACGACGAAGAATGTAAAAAAAAGTTCTGCAGTTAACGACTGAGTTGCTTAGAAACAGGTTGAGAAAAAAAATTAAACTTTATCATCGATAGCAAGTAATCTTATTGAGATATTGGTATTTTTAATGTCTCATTGTTCACAAATATTTTTTGTAGTTTTCCTGGAATTTTTCTGAAAAGACGACATTTGAAGAATTTGAAGAAATCGGCGAACAAATCCGTAAAGAATAAGAAAATCAATATAAAAATGAAAGAGAAATATTTGATTATAACATTGATTTATTGACAAATTTCTATTGAGAAATATGTTCCTTAACATCTAATGAGTTTATTGTAGAATTTTTGTTACATTTTCGTCATCGTTATTGAATAATATTTTAAAAACCGATTCTCAAAATCACCCTTTCAAAATGAACAATCTATGAGGATTTTAAAAATTGAATTTGCGCTCTCGCTGAACAAATATGCACCGTAAAACATCTCATAAGTCTCAAAGGAATCTTAAAGGATTTCTCTACAATACTGCATTCTCAGTTCAACTACCATACATTTCCAGTCACTACCATAAGAAACTTAATCTAGAGTGCCATGACCTAAAAATATTCTTATCATCATTTAAGAATAATTTCCATTTATATTCTATATCTTTGTTTTTATTTCGGGATCTTTGCAATTTTGTATATTTTTAATGTCGTCTTCCTATTCTATAGTTTTCTGGTTATCACTGTATTCTTTGATGATTAGTCTTATTTCACATAGAAAAACACCGATATAGAGAAGCATAGAGTACCATCGTCGTTGCCACTTTTTGAATGGATTATTAATTTGAATTTTGTTAACAATCCCTTAGATTTGATATTTAGGTTAGTAAGAGGATTGGATCCATAATTCAAGGATTCAAGGATGAGTCGGATCCGAAGGTTTGTAATATTTTTAAATATTTGGAAAAACATCAGATTTTTGGGTAAAGAAATAGTTAATTTGAAAACTAAGCATTTAACCTGCAGTGGTCGGAGTTTATATCAACACAATGAAGACGACTTTTCTATCTGAATTCTGCATTTTAACAAGCTTTTTTAAAAATTAGAAGTTTACAAGTAAACATTGAGAATCTGTTAATTGACAGCTTCTCTCTGTTTCCATGCTGTTTGAAAGCTTGGTAGAAATCCAAAATTTAAATCGAAAGTCGTCTTAATTGTATTGATAAAACAATGACGACTGTATAATAATTTAATTATTATGATTTTGAACCCTATTTTCTAGATTATTATGACCCTGAACCTTATTTTCTAGATCATTATGACCTTGAACCTTTTTTTCTAGATTATTATGACCATGAATCAAATTTCTAGATTATTATGACCCTGAACCATTATTTCTAGATTATTTTGACCCTGAACCATATTTTCTAGATTATTATTACCCTGAACCATATTTTCTAGATTATTATGACCCTGAACCATATTTTCTAGATTATTATGACCCTGAACCATATTTTCTAGATTATTATGACCCTGAACCATATTTTCTTGATTATTATGACCTTGAACCATATTTTCTAGATTATTATGAACCTCAACCATATTTTCTAGATTAATATGACCCTGAATCATATTTTCTAGATTATTATGACCCTAAATCATATTTTCTAGATTATTATGACCCTCAACCATATTTTCTTGATTATTATGACCCTGAACCATATTTTCTAGATTATTATGACCCTGAACTATATTTTCTAGATTATTATGACTCTGAACCATATTGCGCGAAATCGTGCAAAAGTTCGCGGCATTCTGTCTGCCATTACGATACCGACTCCATGTGCGACTATCATCTCCAGGTATTTAATTTCCCTTTAAAAATAATATTTTGAATATTTTAATTTTTATAAGAAACTTTATTTTTGCTCTTTTCATGCTCAGGAACGTTTTATTTTTTAAGAGATTTGTCATATATTTAAGTATAGTGGTGTAAGTGTCATTTTTATAAATTTGCGTGTTTCAGTCAGAAAAATTTTAGGTTGATTACTACATTTTCAAAATTCTGATCAGCCATGTCTACAAGATTTAAACTTTTTAAAAATCTGGAAAATAGAATTATTTGAATAAGAATTTTTGTGGTGTTAACTGTTCACTGTTCAATAGTTCCGAACACGCACTGATTTTTTTGCAATGTTCAACTTTCTACCATTTGCTTTGTTATTTATTATTGTTTTTAGCAAAATATAACCAGAAATTGTCTAATCTATCCCAAAATATATGAATTTATTAAAGTTACATTGTTTGTCTTGTTAAATTAGAATTGTCAAATGCAAAATAACGAAATGAACCTTTAGATAATACAGGATGTCCCAATTTACATATGGTGGTTCAGTGATGACTTCGAGACCTTTGCTCCGAGTTTGCAATCTAATACCAATAACTTAGTTCAAGAGTCAAAATAAGGGGTATTAAAGAATTTGAGCCGCAGTTTAAATTAAGCGCCGGCTTAAATCTTGAAACATTTGATACAATTTTAAGTGGAACCAACCATGTTTAAGCCGCGGCTTAAATTTTAACCGCCGCTTAAATTCTTTAATTTCGGCCTCAGGAAGGATTTGAACTGAGGATTCAAACTTTGAACCGGTAACAGTAGGCAGTTCAGCGACCCCTCCACTTAATTAAATCTGAGGCCAAATTTAAAGAATTTGAGTCGCGCCTTAAATTTTAGACGCGGCTCAAATAGGGTTGGTTCCACTTAAAATTGTATTTAATGTTTTAAGATTTAAGTCGGCGCTCAATTGAAGCCGGTTTTTGGCGGATTTGAGATGCGGCTCAAATTCATTAAATTCGGACTCGGGTCCCGGTTAATGTTAAAATATTAGTATTAATCAAAGTGCTGTATTTACATCGTTCAAAACTATTTAACAATTTGTCCATCTTCTTAATACATTCTGTAAAGTATAAAGTTGTTCGTACTGTACAGTACTGTCATGCGGGTTTATTACCCGTACAGTGTACACTGTTCACTGTTCATTGTACATTACTGATATATATTGTATGTACATTATATGTACATTATATGGTACAAACTTGATACAGTCGTCGTCGTATATATCAATACAATGAAGACGACTTTAAAAAATATTTTTTTAAATTTCTACCAAGCTTGGATTCTTTAAATGTTTACTTGTAACTTGTAAGTTGAAAAACGCTAGTTTGAAATCAAAACTTAAATAGAAAAGACGTCCGCATTGTATTGATATAAACACCAACCACTGTACAACATGGAGTAAAGTGGTACTGTGTATATATATAAATGTTCTTTACTTGTTACTATGTACACAAACGTATTTGTTGTATTCTTCAATAATTGTACATTATTGTACAGTGTTGTACAGTGTAAGAAAATTGATTTCGACGGAAACCAAACTTTTTTTGTTTGGTGAGAACCTTGGGCATTACAAATTTACAGACTTCCTCTTTTCATTTTATCTTTCTTGTGTTAGAAAATAACTCTCCCGATTTTTTGTTCGTAAAAAAGCTATTTTTAGATTGTTGCATCTAATTGATTTTGTCATAAACTTGTTGAAAAATTATGCGTTATTTAAAAAGTATTTAATGTTTTAAAAAAATTTTCATGAAAATCGTGTAAATGCGCCATTTTCTCAAATTTGAATGTACTTGCAGATTCAAAATGTCGGACTGGGACGAGATTCGGCGTTTGGCCGCCGACTTTCAGCGGGCACAGTCAGGAATTTAAAATCTTTCGAACATTTGTATTAAGTTATCTTTTTAAAACAACTAAAGAGTTTCAACACATTTTATTTGGTTAAAACAATTACTTCCTTTTGATTTTTTTCATTCATTACAATTTAATACAACTTTAATTTAAATTCCCTGAAAGGGACAGTGAGCTTAATTTCAAATAACCTTCCATGCAAGAAGGCAATTCCTAATTCATAATGGTACCCTTAACAGCTTCGTCTGATCAAGTATGTAAAGGAAATCAATGTTTATAATTTTTAACTACAAAAGTGGCTTGTGAAAACGTATAGGAACTATCAGAACTACTTTACATGTAGAAAAACAACATTATCTTCCACGTTACTGATCAAATAAAGGTTTTAAGGGTACCGTTGTGAATCGGGAATTTTCATTATTGCATGGAGGGTCACATGAAATTACGCTAACAGTCCCTTAAAGCGTAGTTTGTCCGGTTCAAGATTTTAAATTGTAAAGCTGGCGCCTCCCAAAAGCTGTCTGAGAGGAACTGTATAGAAATTGTTATGAAGCTCATAGGTAGTCTTTTAAGTATTTGTTATTTATAACTATTTAAGTATTTGTTATTTATAACTTTTTAACTATTTGTTATTTATAACTTTTTAAGTATTTGTTACTAATAACTTTTTAAGTATTTGTTATTTATAACTATTTAAGTATTTGTTATTTATAACTTTTTAGTATTTGTTATTTATAACTTTTTGAGTATTTGTTATTTATAACTTTTTAAGTATTTGTTATTTATAACTTTTTAAGTATTTGTTATTTATAACTTTTTAAGTATTTGTTATTTATAACTTTTTAAGTATTTGTTATTTATAACTTTTAAGTATTTGTTATTTATAACTTTTTAAGTATTTGTTATTTATAACTTTTTAAGTATTTGTTATTTATAACTTTTAAGTAACTGTTATTTATCATTTTTGAAGTATTTGTTATTTATAACTTTTTAACTATTTGTTACTTATAACTATTGAAGTATTTGTTATTTAAGTATTTGTTATTTTTTATTTGTTACTTAAAACTTTTTAAGTGTTTGTTATTTGTAACTTTTTATGTATTTGTTACTTATAACTTTTTATGTATTTGTTATTTATAATTTTTTAAGTATTTGTTTACATAACTTTTTAAATGCTATTTGAGCATGTTAGCAGGATAAACATCAAACATTGTAAATTTGCAAGGCATATTATTATTAAGTTTATGGACCCGTCATATCGTATTTTTTCTTCTCCTAAAAATAGCAATCTCTTGTGATTATACTATCCCAAGTTAGGTTATATTAAGATAGATACTCAAGGGGGTTGCTCTTATTCAAAAGGATTGAGAGTTTTCGAATATAAATATAATCAAAATAAATAGTCAAAATCCACCAATAATAAAAAAAATATTTTGTAATACCCGAATTTTAAAAATTTTGATCACCCCTTTTAATTGTTAAGACTTAAAGCTGATCAATGTGATCTTCACTATTTTAAAAATGTTAATCACTCCCTTTAATTTTCATAGTTGAAGATGATTACTGTTATCTATACTATTTTGAAAATGTTAATCACTCCCTTTAATTATTAGAATTTAAGTTGATTGATGTTATCAATACTATTTTGAAAATGTTAATCACTCCCTTTAATTATCAGAGTTGAAGTTGATTGATGTTATCTACACTATTTTGAAAATGTTAATCACTCCCTTTAATTATTAGAGTTGAAGATGATAGATGTTATCTACACTATTTTGAAAATGTTAATCACTCCCTTTAATTATTAGAGTTGAAGATGATAGATGTTATCTATACTACGGATGGAAAGGAGTATCTCACTCACAGCCAACTTTTGAAAGAGGCAAGCATAAAATTAGTTTAAGGGACTGTTACCGAAAATTTTACTGGTCTTGCATTAGTGTAAATAATAAATGATTCATAGCTGTATTCTTTATCCTAAAGGTAGAAGAAATTTTTTCTAAAATTAAACTATTTGCTTCACCTTTCAGAATAAAACTGCATTTGATTTGAATAATTTTCAGATAATAAGAAAAATAATCGCCATAATTGATGTGTTGAACAACTTAAAGGGAATTATTATTAATTTTAGCACACTTCTGATGTGTTATTGTAAGTTACATAAATAAATCTCTAAAATTGGTATTTGTAAAGTTGACTGAAAAAGAAATCAAATAATTAAACTAAATGTTGAAGAAAATAAGATATTAAAAATTATTCTATAGTATCTTAAATATGTATTTTTGCCTTTGTCTGTTCTTAATAATATGAAGATCATGCATTTTTGAACATTTTGTTTCAGTAATTTTTTTCTTTCTATTAAATGTTGAACAAAAATCAATAGTATAAATCTTTCTTGAGTTACCAAAGTATGCTTTATTTCTTATGTCTATTTTATAATATGGAAAACGTGCGTTCAATTTTAAACTTTTTATTGAACACTAGCTGAAGTGCCCGGCGTTGCCGGAATTTTGAAGAAAAAATAAAAATCGATTTTGGAAAACAAAAATTTCAATTTTTGAAAAAAAAAATTTATAGCTCATCCATGAGTTCCCTAAAAAAAATTTGGTCCAGCCGTTTGGCCAGCTATAGCTTGGTAACATCATCAAATACACTTAAGTATTGTTATTATGTCATCTTACTACATCAGTTTTTTTAAATTTTCACTGTATAGTAAATACCTTTAGTGTCCAGAAGACAAAATTGGGTCGAAAACTAAAAATTGTGAATCCAGGCCTCAACTAAGGTTTTATTGTAATTAATTGAAAAAAAAGATCAGGAGCGAAGAGCTTTATCATTTAGATGAATTTTTTTATTTTTTTTTATTTTTTTGAATTAATGTTTTTTCCTTAGGTAAAAGATGAGCTCTACGTTTCTGGCGGAAGGATAAGTTTAGGTAAAAACAAATATTTTGTTATTTTAACTTTAAATTTTTTTCTGCTGTTTGAATATTCCATTGTCTTAATTCGAACTCATTTAAACTAATATTAGCTCTTAAAGATGTCCGTTAGGGCTAGTATGATGGAAACTTTCCGTAATGATATATCACCATTGCGTTTTAATCTACCACTAGTTATGTTTTTTATGTTTTTTTTCGCCCAAAATAGCGTTTTTTGCCGACAAATGACGTTTTGACCATTTTGGTTACGTTTTATACTAGCTATATAGTGATCTTGAATTTAAATATTTTTACCGTATCTTGCTCTCAGTCCCTTTCTGGACAGTTGTTTCTATAAACTACGTGAACAATCCCTTGAATTGCTTTTTTATTTTTTTTATTTCAGTTGAGATTGCTAGTGCGCTGAATGTTGATTTCAGTCATATTGAGCAGACTGCTCTGCAGATTGCTAAATCTGATCGAGAGACCCATCTTGTCCTAGGTGGGTTAAAGAAACTCTACACACTTGTTTGCTGATTCCATTAGCGCCTGATCCAATCAGGGTTCAGTCATGTGTTTGTTGTCTATTCTGAACCAATACTACAGGAAACCATAGATTTAACTATATATTTATATGAACGAAGAGCTTTATCATATCAGATGAATTTTTTTATTTTTTTTAATTTGATGTTTTTTCCCTTAGGTAAAAGATGAGCTCTACGTTTCTGGCGGAAGGATAAGTTTAGGTAGAAACAAATATAATCTTAAAACTTTTTCTGTTGTTAAAATATCCATTGTCTTAATTCGAACTCATTTAAACTAATATTAGCTCTTAAAGATGTCCGTTAGGGCAAGTATGATAGAAACTTTCCGTAATGATAAGTAACCAAATGTATGATAGAAACTTTCCGTAATGATAAATAACCAAATGTATGATAGAAACTTTCCGTAATAATAAATAACCAAATGTATGATAGAAACTTCCGTAATGATAAATAACCAAATGTATGATAGAAACTTTCCGTAATGATATATCACCATTGAGTTTTAATCTCCCTCTAGTTATGTTTTTTTCTCCGCGTTTTAATCTCCCTCTAGTTATGTTTTTTTTTCTCCGCGATTAATCTCCTTCTAGTTATGTTTTTTTTTCGCCCAAAATAGCGTTTTTTTCCGATAAATGACGTTTGACCATTTTGGTTATGGTTTACACTAGCTACAGTGAAACCCTTAATAAAGAATACATCAAATGTCGTATTCTTCACTTTCTGATAATGGAATGTTGCAAGTATTTAGTTTTTTAATTAAATGATTATAACAACATACATGAAACTGTTCCCTCATATTCATGACTATTTATTTCTTTTCGCAAATACTGAAATTTACGTAATAAAGTATAAAAAATTGTCAAGACGACATTTGATAGATTCTTCCGATGTATTCGTTATTAAGGGTTTCACTGTATATAGTGATCTTGCATTTAAATATTAAATTTACTGTATTTTGCTCTCAGTCCCTTTCTGGACAGTTGTTTCTATAAACTACGTGAACAATCCCTTGAATTGCTTTTTTAATTTTTTTTTATTTTTATTTCAGTTGAGATTGCTAGTGCGCTGAATGTTGATTTCAGTCATATTGAGCAGACTGCTCTGCAGATTGCTAAATCTGATCGAGAGACCCATCTTGTCCTAGGTGGGTTAAAGAAACTCTACACACTTGTTTGCTGATTCCATTAGCGCCTGATCCAATCAGGGTTCAGTCATGTGTTTGTTGTCTATTCTGAACCAATAAAAATTGTGTTGCGGTAACATATATCTTTCTATCTATCTCATTATCCAATTAGAGATATGAATCCTTTAGTTAATGAAAATATTTACTTCTACTTCCAGGCATAGTGTTCAATCAAGCCTCCATTTAAAGAGTGGCATGTCAGATTCAAAATGTTTCCCTTTTAACCTTCATCTAAGCTAAAATGAGCAAGATTTTTATCTGGAAGAGAGTCGAATTATGACTTATTTTATGGCTTAAAGGATACTGTTGTTAATAGGACATGTCAGTCTATAAATGGAGGCTCACTTTAACTTAAGTCTTAAGTTCTTCTAAATACAGANGAATATATAATTCCTAGTTGATGAGGTAATGGAATATATAATTCCTAGTTGATGAGGTTATGGAATTTATAATTCCTAGTTAATGAGGTTATGGAATATATAATTCCTAGTTAATAAGGTAATGGAATATATAATTCCTAGTGGATGAGGCAATAGAATATATAATTCCTATTTGATGAGGTAATAGAGTATATAATTCCTAGTTAATGAGGTAATAGAATATATAATTCCTAGTTGATGAGGTAATAGAATATATAATTCCTAGTTGATGAGGTAATAGAATTTATAATTCCTTGATGAGGTAATGGAATATATAATTTCTTGTTGATGAGGTAATGGAATATATAATTCCTTGTTGATTAGATAATGGAATATATAATTCCTAGTTGATGAGGTAATGGAATTTATAATTCCTTGATGGGGTAATGGAATATTATATATAATTCCTAGTTGAATAATTTTTTGAAAACCTATTCTCAAAATCATTCCTTCAAAATGAACAATCTTTGAGGATTTTAAAAATTGAATTTGCGCTCTCGCTGAACAAATATGGACCGTAAAAACATCTCATAAGTCTCAAAGGAATCCTAAAAATTTTCTCTACAATACTGCATTCTCAGTTCAACTACCATACATTGCCAGTCATTACCATAAGAAACTTAATCTAGAATGCCATGACCTAAAAATATTCTTATCATCAGAATAAAGAATAAATGCCATTTTTATTCTTTTTCTTTGTTTTAATTTCGGGATCTTTGCAATTTTTTTTTATGTCGTCTTCCTATTCTATAGTTTTCTGCTTATCACTGTATTCTTTGATGGTTAGTCTTATTTCACATAGAAAAACGCCGATACAGAGAAGCATAGAGGACCATCGTCGCTGCCACTTTTTGAATGGATTATTACTTTGAATTTTGTTAACGATCCCTTAAATTTGATATTTAGGTTAGTAAGAGGATTGGATCCATTATTCAAGGATTCAAGGATGAGTCGGATCCGAAGGTTTGTAATATTTTTAAATATTTGGAAAAACTTGAGATTTTTGGGTAAAGAAATAGTTAATTTGAAAACTAAGCATTTAACCTGCAGTGGTCGGAGTTTATATCAACACAATGAAGACGACTTTTCTATCTAAGTTTTGCATTTAAACAAGCTTTTTTACAAATTACAAGTTTACAAGTAAACATTGAAAATCTGTTAATTGACAGCTTCTCTCTGTTTCCATGCTATTTGAAAGCTTGGTAGAAATCAAAAATTTAAATCAAAAGTCGTCTTCGTTGTATTGATATATACGACGAATACTGTAAAATAACTTTATATTTTAATTACTATGACCCTGAATCATATTTTCTAGATTATTATGACCCTGAATCATATTTTCTAGATTATTATGACCCTGAACCTTTTTTTCTGTATTATTATGACCCTGAACACTTTCATCTAGATTATTATGACCCTGAACCATATTTTCTAGATTATTATGACCCTGAACCATATTGCGCGAAATCGTGCAAAAGTTCGCGGCATTCTGTCTGCCATTACGATACCGACTCCATGCGCTACTATCATCTCCAGGTATTGAATTTCCCTTTCAAAATAATATTTTGAATATTTTAATTTAATAAAAAACTTTATTTTTGATCTTTTCATGCTCAAGAACGTTTTATTTTTTTAAGAGATTATTCATATATTTCAGTATAGTGGTGGAAGTGCCATTTTTATAAATTTGCATGTTTCAGTCAGAATAATTTTAAGTTGTTTACTACATTTTCAAACTTCTGATCAACCGTGTCTATAAGATTTAGACTTTTTATAAATCTGGAAAATAGTATTCTTTCAATAAGAATTTATGTGGTATATTAAACACTGTTCAATAGCTCCGAGTCCGAACACGCACTGATATTTTTTGCAACGGTCAACTTTTTACCATTTTATTTATTATTATCGTTTTTAGAAAATAATAACTATGAATTGTCTAATCTATCCCAAAATATATGTATTTATTAAAGTTACATTGCTTGTCTTGTTAAATTAGTATTGTCAAATGCAAAATAACGAAATAAACCCCTAGATAATATAGGATGTCCCAATTTACATGTAGGGGTTCAGTGACGACTTCGAGACCTTTGCTACGTGTTAGCAATGTAATACCAATAACTTAGTTCAAGAGTCAAAATAAAGGGTAAAAAGCTGTTTGCGTATTCTGCAAAGCTGAATGATGTGATATTTTTTGCAATATGCACATGTTTGTATACAGGAATTTATCATTTTATTACATTTTTCTACAGTACAACAAACATCACATTCAAAACTCTTGAAAACAAAGCATTCTACGGAATACAGCTAATATACAGGGTAACCCACAAAGGACGAGACTTTAGAAATTGAATTTTCACAATATTTTTATTTTTAAATATTTATATGATATCAGATGGAAATATTTTGAGATTTATATATTTCTTGTTCTTCATTTTCGTCTTGTTCGTACATCTTTCAATCATATTTCAGGTAATTTTGAAAATAAAAAGAAAAGAATTTTTTTGGTGTCCTTGTAGTATGCCACTTTAAAAGAAAGAACCATTTTTTCTGAACTCTGTATTGCATTTAACTTGTTGAGAAGATCTTGCTTTCTGTTTTCGGAACTCTGTATTAAAAATTGTTAACTAAGTTGCATCTGACTAAGCAAAAACACCAATTCTGAATTTTCTTGGGGGCAGGTAGGGGGGGGGTAGAGCAATCGTCTCATCCCCCTCTCCAGTGGGGGGGAACGTCTTCTAAGCCCCCATCTCTAATATCAATAGATTTCCACTTTTCTGATCAATTCTTTCTTTTTTCTTCTTGCTTCTTGTTTTTACACTTTCAGGCCTTTCCAAATAGTTCTTTTGACATCAAGTTGTGAAGCAGGTAGGAGAAAGATAAGGAGGTTTGAAGGAGGAAGGGTATAGCTGGGATTGCTTACTGTGTTCCTTTTATTATACCCTTTCCGAGTTAATGGGCATTAAGGAAACCTATAACTGCACCCCTTATGCAAAATGGGGAGTTGTAAGCCCTAAATCCCCAAAGAGAGGAATCTTCCACAGCAGTCCAGTCCTCACAGCTGGTCATGTAAAAAACTGGTATCGTTGTGCATGGCTTGTATTATACCCATCAGTTACACCAGGCTGAAGATTATCTGGGACCGCTAGAAGAGAGATGCATTCTCTTCTCTGCATCTGTAAACTTTTCTATCTTTTCCTAATCATTGAATAAGCCATAAAAATATTAAATTGAAGGCAGAAGACTTAATTTAATTTTGGAATCATCTGATTTATAGAGTTTGAGGTCGTTTAAACACTTTCATCCTTTGTGGGTAAACCTGTACTAGGAATCAATAGTTTAAATCAAAAATTGTTTACAAAGACGACATTGCAATCGTCCATCAATTCCCATGTTATTAGGGCACCTGGTGTAGTTTCAGATCTGTTGCAGGATGCCCATCAGAACCACTTTATGTGGTCCTGTTTGATCCACTGGTAGCATCTTTCTATAGGATTATGGGAGCCGGGGGTGCCGGAGCTCAGTGGAGTTAGCCCCGATGGCGGTCTGGGCTCTCCAAGACGGGGGGGGGGGGGGTACTTTTCTTTCCCTTTTTTATCTTATCTTATATTATTCAACACTTAAGGTTTGGATTAAACGAGAAGCTGTTCTTTAGTCTCGCTGATGAACTTATTAGAATTAAGCACATCCCTGGAACCATTTCAGGTATCTATCTTTTATCTATTTATCTATCTATCTATATATTTATTTATCTATCTATCTATCTATATATTTATTTATCTATCTAGGAGGAAGGAATGTAGCTAAGGCTACCTATATTCCCCACAGTTACTCTAGATCCCAAAACTCTTGGATTGAGGATTTCTACACCAGTAATTCATACATAGAGGTCAGTTCTTTTTACAATTTATATGGATGTTTTATTTTTTATCAAAATACATGGCATCTAGACATAATCATATAGTAAAAGGTGTACATTAAAAAAGGTTCCTGCTTACATTTACAGTTTCAATTCTAAAACTCTCAGTATTGGCAATAAAAGCTTGCGAATTCATATTTGCCTAATATTGTTTAAGATTAAACTAGTCCATGCAAAAACCCGGATTTGAAAATGATTTAGTAGTTATTTTCGGTCATCTACGACCCGGCGTTGCAAAATGCAGCTACCGCCTAGTCGGACTGAAGACATTCCATAGACTTTATCAACCTAGTTTACTCTACTGAAGTTCTTATTTATGTCCATATCATTCTTCTCTTCAGGGTTTGCTCTTTATTATGCCATCAGCAATATAAGATCCTTGATTTCAGTCATTAATAAAAGGTGAACCATACATTTAAAGATACTTAGAAGAGCTTATTACCCTATTTTCTCTGTCTGTAGAGTGTGGACATCTAAAAGCTTTTTTAGTTTTGTAAAAATAATAAGGATTTTTGCCATGCTTTCTTTGTATTATACAGGGTGTCTCAATAAACATGGAAATTAAGAGACGAATTCGAAATCGTCTTTGCAAAGAATTAGCGTTGTGTTACCTAATTTAAATGGTCAAAATAAAGTTATGTCTGCTAGAGTATATTTTATGTAAACTGTAAAGGACTGTTTTGTTATTCCGCAAAACGTTGTATGATGTTCTGTAACATTTCTGCAAGATAAACAGTGAAGAGAGACAACTGTACTGTGTTTGTAAACACGGAATTTCTTTTATTTTTAAGTACACCTCTGTATGCTATAAAAACATAAACAAACAGATTCTGAACTCTAGCAGACGAATTATAGCTTCCATAGCAGGTATCACTATACTAAATCAAAAATTCATTTACAAGGACGATATCAAAATCAGGGGCGGACATAAGGATTCTGTAGGGGGGGGGGTAAATATTTTTAATTTGGCGCGCGAAGCGCGCCGAATTTTTTTTTACCCCCCCCCCCCACCCCCTAGAAAAATATCATTATGTATCTCAAATTATTGGTTTTAATTGGGGTTGATTTGCATTTTCCACTCATTTCTGGGATTTACAAACTCAATCTAATAAAGGCTTCATGACAGACCTTTCAGCTTTCACCTTGTTTTATATCTTTCATTATAGTCATTCATTTTACATTAACTACAAAGATCTGTAAAAAAACTGAATTTATTTAAGTTTAACTAAACTTTTTACCCAACATTGACAAAAAAGGCAGTAATATAAAAAATTATAGTTTTACTCTAAGAGGAAAAAGATGTTACTTTTTTAAATCTTTAGAAAAGCTACTCTGCAAAACTTTGAAAAAATATGGTCATTACTCATTGTTAAATTTTCTTGTCGTCAATGTAGTATGTTAAGATCTTAACGAAATCTAATGTGGAAATGACATTATTTATAAGTAAAAAATAAAAATGTTTTTTTATTGTCCACACCATTTTTTTTCTATTAAAAAAACATCTAATTTTAATGACATTGACTATTACTTTAGAATTTAGAATCATTTAGAATATGTTGACTTAAAATTTGAAATATCTGATTCCGACGTATCTGCACAATGTTTTCTGCGTTAATTTCCTCTGAGGAGGCATAATATCTGAAATTTACATACAGGAATATGTTTTTATTTGCAAAACGAAAATATCGCCGCCATCTTTGATATTGTGAATAAAGGGAGTGTTTGGGAAACATGATAAGGGAATAGGCTGAATCCTAATCAAATTTGGATTGAATCGCTACTATAGTTTTACTTCTCTCTGTTACGTCTATCAGGAGAAAATGGTTGAAACGCGGATTGTCCAAGAACGTAAAATTTAATTTTTCGCGAACACTCCCTTTAAATAACGAGTCACTTGTGACTTAGCAAATGTTGGTTAAACATTTTTTTTCAGTATGATTCTGTGAGCAGACTAGGAATATCTGATCCAATCGTATTCTTGAAGAAAAAGTAAATTTTATTATTTTTTATTATCGTTATAAAGTTTCTTAATTTTAATTCATTTTTTAATTTTATTATCATTATGAGGGGCTATTCATTTCTTGATTGCTTATGTTAAGAGGTTTGTATTCTTAAAGAACAAATAAACTAATTTTATTGTATTATCATGATGAGGTTCTTATTGATTTTAATTGTATTTTATTCCTGGAAAAAAAGAACCAAACTTTATTACGTTAAACTAAAGTAAATTGCACGTAAAATTGACATATGGTTTCAATCATCACTTTTATCATTGATTGATTAATTGATTGATCTAGGTTCAAGGATGAAAAGATGGTTTACTTGGATACTTGTGTTCTAGGTCCTGCACTTCTTGATCAGGTTTACATCTCTTTTTATGTTTCTAATTTTCTAGCTCTTACGCTCTCCAGCTGTCTAGCGTTGTATGTTTTTATATTTCGTTCTAGCTTTCTTGGTCTCTAGGTTTCTAACTTACTAGCTTTCTAGCTTTCTATGTTTATATCTAGTTTCTAGTTAACCAGGTTTTTGTTTATAGCTTAACAGTTTTCTAACTAACTTTCAAGCTTTCTAGTTTTCTAATTATCTTTTTAGCTTTCTACCTTTCCAGGTTTATATCTAGCTTTGTATTTTTCTAACTACCTTTCTAGCTTTCCGGGTTTATATATATGTATAGCTTTCCAGTTTTCTGACTAACTTTGTAGCTTTCAAGCTTTTCAGGTTTTTACTTATCTAATTAACTTTATAGCCTTCCAGGTTCATATCTAGGTTTACAGTTTTCTAACAAACTTTCTCTTACTAGCCTTCCAGGTTTATTTATAGTTTTTTTCTTTTCTAACTAACAAGTTTTCTAACTCTCTTTTTATATGTATTAAAGAGGATGTTCTCCAAATTTGGTTAGACAGGTTATAAAGCTCTTTTATTCAGATAGAGACTGCTGTAAGTGAAGCTCTTGGAGCAGGTTCCTGGATAGATCTTGTACCTCTTCTACCTTCTATACTTTCACAGGTTAGTTAGTTCATTCATTCATTTATTCATTTCATGCATTCTTTCATTCATTCATTCATTCATTCATTTATTCATCATTTCATTTATTGATTTCAATCATTTATTCAGTCACTGATTCATTTATTCATCCTTTCATCCTTTCATACATTCATCCTTTATTCATTTGTTCATTCATTCATTAATTCATTCATTCATTAATTCATTCATTCATCCTCACTTCAGCAAATCTTGCCATCCTTTCATTCTTTCATCCTTTCACCCATTCATTAATTCATTCATTAATTAATTCATCATTAGTTCATTCATTTATCCATTCATTCACCTATTTATGCATTAATACTTTCATTTAACATTATCTTAAGATTATTTAGTATTTTCTTGTTCATGTTATAAATCAGGCATTGTACAGTTGTACATTTGAAAAACTATTTACATTTACCATACTATATAGTTTACTTGTGTACTGTACTGTGCTGTACTATACTGTACTTTTTATTATACTGTACTCTGTATTACACTGTACTCTGTATCATACTGTACTGAGTATTATACTGTACTCTGTATTATACTATACTTTGTATTATACTGTACTCTGTATTACACTGTACTCTGTAGTTTACTGTACTCTGTATTATACTGTACTCTGTATTATACTGTACTTTGTATTATACTGTACTTTGTATTATAATGTACTCTGTATTATACTGTACTCAATATTAAACTTTACTGAAATGTACTGTACAGGAGGATGAGGCTCAGCTGGTATCCAGTCTGGTGGGAGGTCGGGCTGGTACACTTATACTGGGTGGTACAACCCTGCTTAGCAACAAACTGGTTGAGGATGTTAAAACCGGTTTAGAAGCTGATATGGAGTCCAGGGCCAAACAGGGGTGTACACAATAAACAAACAAAACTGTTTAAAACAACGAAAAATCCATAATTTTTTTTTTATTTTAACAAAAATGTCTGTGTTTTGTTTATTGTTTATTGTACTGCAGGATGTAGAGAGTGGATTGGTTCAACAATGTTTGGTTGATAACAGGGGGGCAAAGGTAGAGTTTCAAGGCAGTGATCTTTGGGGTCTTGGGGTGATTTGGGTCTTGGATTTACAGTGGGCTTCAATCATTTTGAAATTTAGGGGAAACTCATAAAGTTGGGATTTAATGATGACCCTATCAATTTGTGATTCACAAGCGGCACAATCAATTTGGGATTTAGAGGGGGCGCAATGAACTTGTGATTTACAAGGGACAAAAGGTGCGCAATAAATTTGGGATTTATAGGGGCCCTATCAATCTGGTATTTCGATTGGGCCCAATCAACTAGGGATTTACATGAAGCCCAATCAACTTGGGATTTCCTGGGGTTCCCAATTGAATTGCATGGGAATTAATTGAAGCCTCAATTAAATTGGGAATTACAGGGGTTGCCAATTGAATTGGGTATTTACAGGGGCTCCCAATATGCAAAAGAATTATTTAAAGTCTCTTATCAGCTTGGGAATTACAGGGGTTGCAAATTGAATTGGGATGTACAGGGGTTATCAATTAACATTGTAACGTTAACATTAATATTGTTAGTTTCTTGATAAACTCGAGAATTTCAGGGGGGTCACTATTATCATGAAAATTATTAGGAGTCCCGATAAACATGGGAATTTCGGGAGCTCCCAATCAGCTTAGGCTTTACAAGGGTCCCATTAATTTGGGGGAAAAAAGGAGACCCAATTTTTATGGGAATGGAGCTGAAAGTTTTAATCACGCGGCATTTAATGAAACCTTATTTTATAAGTATGATAAAGTATTCGACTTCTATTAAAGAAATTTTCTAAATGTGGTTTGCTTTTTTCATGTTTTTGGGAAAATTGCCAATTTTAATCAATACCATTTTTTTGAGATTAAGTCATAGTTGAAAGGGGTCTTGGGTTGTAATAATATTTGTCTTCTCAGGACCTAGATGAAGAAAAGATTGACCGTAAAGATGAACGGCGGAAGAAAGCTGCCGGCGGAAAGGCGGGGGGCGGAGCCCAGGGCAGAGAAACTAAAACAAAATCTACTAAGAAGAAAGGTGGGAAGAAGAAGGATGATGATTGGGAGGATAGTGATGAAGAAGTGGAGAAGAAAGGAGGGAAGGGGGAGAAGGGAGGGAAAAAAAAAGAATTGGAGTACAAGGTATCTTTTATAAACTTGGAAATTCTGCCTGAGCTGAAAACTTTAGAATGAGATATACTTAATCCCGATTACTTAATCTGAGTATCCAATGGACACACTTTTGATTTTCTTCTTAAACCGTTCTTTCTTGGATATAGTAGAGAAAAATCAAAAACCGGTTTTTTAGAATTAGAAAGTCCCTCCTGTTTCTGTATGTTAATCTTAATGGCGCGTAAAGTTTTAAATTTATCGGCTTCATATTCGTGACTCTGATTGGTTGGATTTTTTTACACTTTTCACAAGTACAAAATTAGGTTAGTCTTGATATTAAGAAAAAGACGGGATAAAGCATTAATCTCGATATCCACCATTCTAAAGTTTTCAGCTCTGATCCTATGAACACAACAAAAGATACTTATTTTATTGCATATATTATACATATCGGTAGACAGAACTGCGCATATTTCCTGCACCCATTATTTAAGTAATGGTTAACTCAATTCTTCCTGTGTTTATAGTTCTTGGTTAGTTACGAACCTATTTAACTGAGCTCAGAAATAAAGGGACAGTGGTTGTAATTTCAACTGATCCTCTATTTAAAGAGAGTCTTTTTTTGATCATATTTTTTCCTTTTTTTGAGTCAAAGATATTGTGTTAACAATAATAATAATAATATTTAGAGTTTTGCTGTTTTGAAACAGGAGATATCTGCACTCCCACATCTTCAGGTATCATTAACTGAACAATAGAATTTTTACAACTCTCAACTGTACTGTATATTATATGTACAATGTATATGGTGTATAAAAGGCGTTTTTTTTTGGAGGCTTTATCTCTCTGCATGGTTGTCGTGTACATACCTCTAATTGGTGTACACTGTACAGTGTACATCGATCGGAAATATGTTACAGTGAAACCCTTAATAACGAATACATCGGAAGAATTTATCAAATGTCGTCTTGACAATTTTTCAATGAGTTTTATACTATATTACGTAAATTTCCGTATTTGCGAAAATAAATAAATAGCCATGAATATGCGGGAATAGTTTTAAAGAGTTCCATATAATCATTTAATTAAAAAACTAAATATCTCCAACATTCCATTATCAGAAAGTAAAGAATACGACATTTGATGAATTCTTTCGATGTATTCGTTATTAAGGGTTTCACTGTATGTAGATTTTTTTATGTCTTATGTCTTACATACCATAAACTCTAAACTTTTGAGTGTTTATTTATTTGTGTATTTATGGTGAGAGCTTTAGTATCTAAATTGAAGTTTTTTAGACACCTTGTAAGTACATAAATAATACAACTGTTACTAACTTAATCTTAAGTCTGATTTATGATCTTGAATTCAGAACACAAACAGATCTTTAAAACGAAAATAAAAAAGAACACAGTTGGACATTTTTAATTACCCTGAATGTATGTTTTTCTTGATTGTTTGAATCAAAAGTTGTAAGAGTTCTAGCAAACTGTTGTAAGTTGTAAGGGTTTTTTTAAATTGAGTGTCTGCCCGCACGCCTGCCTGAAGATCAACTTAAAATTTTTCACCCTTAAATGATTTCTAAAAAAATTCTCTACAAAACTGCACTCTCAGCTCAACTACCATGTCTAGCCAGACACTCCCTTTAAATATTCTCTTTTGTTTAAGGATTGTGATGAGGAGATCTTTGGAGAGTTGGCAGAATATTTACAGGTCCATTTTTATCCACAGTCGAGAAATAGGAACATATAATCACATAAGGCGATTCTAGTCACTTTTTGAAGAAACAAATTTAACTTTTGCATGTTGCCCAGGGGCGTATTCAGGCATTTGTCCAGGGTGGGCTTAAATTTTTTATTTTTCCAGGGGGGGGGGGGCTCAGCACCCGTTGGGGCCTGAAAACCCCCTTAAATCATTAGATTTCACTGGTCCAGGGGGGGGGATTAGGGGGGAGAGTCAGAGATTGACAAGCTAAATAATATATATTTTTTAAATCAAATATTTTGACAATTTTTGTCAGGATGAGTTGGATCGGCGGTATAAAGAGGTTTCTAAGGAAGTTTATCAGTCCACCCTGGCAGCCAGCCTTCAGAGTAAAAAAAGAACACATTCAGATTTACAGGTATAAATATAGTAATTAAGGGGGGTGGGAACAAAATTATACAGTGGTAGGCGAATTTAACAATACAATAAAGACGACTTTTTATCTCAATTTTGATTTACATGATTATATCAAGCTGTTAAACAGCCTTGATACACCTGAACATAGAAGTCAATAGAATCTTCTTTTTGGTTATCTTGTAAACTTCTAAATCGAAAAACGCTTGTTATCAATCAAAACTTAAATTAAAAAGTCGTCTTCATTGTATTGATATAATCGCCTGCCACTGTATATAAACTTGGTTGAACAAAATTGCATTCAAAGTAAGAGATGTGCACTTTGTACATTGTACGTTCAGAGTACATTGTACAGGGTGTACAGCTACGTACACTATATGTTAAATGATGATAATAATTTAAATGTTTATAAAAATAATAATAATAATAACATGATAGTCACTAAATAGTTTAAATGGTTAAAAAAATTTAAATGTCTTATTTTGGAGTTTTGAATGGTAAAATTTAATTTTTAAATTGATTTGTTTTAACAAAACAATTGTTTAATTAATGTTCAGGAGAAGGTGAACAATATGTTCACAACTCTTCGTCTGAATGAACGCGCTATTCAGGAGTTCAAAGTTGACGAACATAAGGTGAGCATTTCATAACAAGTTCAGAAAGATATAAACTTCTAATTGTACAATTGTTAAAATTAATTCGAAATATAAGGAAGACGATTTTTCCGACTCAAATATCTCCTCTACAAGAGGATACTCACCCTGTTCCAAGGGTTCTAACTCTCCTCTACAAGAGGATACTCCCCCTGTTCCAAGGGTTCTAACTCTCCTCTACAAGAGGATACTCACCCTGTTCCAAGGGTTCTAACTCTCCTCCACAAGAGGATAATCTCAACTCTAATGAGTTTACTAGGCGAACCTGGAGAGAGCAGAAACCTGTTGTTCCAGTTCTAGTTGATCTGCACCACCAATATGAAGTTATACATTACCAACATGAAGTTGCTGCTGATGTCTTTCTTTTTCCTTTATTAATTTCTAAACCAACCAATTTACAATCTTTATGTCTTGGTCAAATATTTCAAAACAATATTATTTTTCATAAATAAATGTTATAGAATATTTGGTTTTTTTCTGATTTCTTTATTAGAATATTTCTGACTTTTTTAAAGGTCAACAACAATTTACTATGTACATCTAATGTTTCTTGAGACATGACCTCCTCAAAATATTTTGACCTCAACCTTTGATGATCATATATATTTAATTCCTGGAAATCCGGTAAAAGTGAGAATCCTTGACTTCCACTGAAACAATGACCGATCCATCAAATCATTGACCTTGGGGTTTTAGCAGCTTTAATGCTCATCATTTGGTAATTCAACCTCAAGTTATTCTATTAAATCTTAGACTGCGCTCTCTAAACACCTTCTGAAAACGCTTGGTTCTGAGCTTGTGACAGAAATATTTCTCTACCTGGCCGAAGATAATATGATAAAGGTAGTTTTCTAATTTACTCACTAGGTGTCTCTAAACATGACATTAACTCACTATTATTATCATTATTAACATTCAACCTATAGTCAAAGAATCATGATCCTCTGAACATGGTTAAGGTAGTTTAGACATTTACTCAATAGGTGTCTCTGAACATGATTATGGTAGTTCTAACATTTACTCAATATGTGTCACTATACATGATTAAGGTAGTTTCAACACTTACTCACTAGGTGTCTCTAAACATGATTATGATAGGTTTCAACAATTTCTCAGTAAGTGTCTCTGAAAATGAAAAAAATAGGATTAAAAATTGCTAACTAAGTGTCTCTGAACAAGATAAATGAAGTTTCAACATTTACCCACTAGATGTCTCTAAACATTATTAGGGTAGTTTCAACATTTACTCACTAGGGGTCTCTAAACATAATTAGGCTAGTTTCAACATTTACTCACTAGGGGTCTCTAAACATAATTAGGCTAGTTTCAACATTTACTCACTAGGGGTCTCTAAACATAATTAGGCTAGTTTCAACATTTACTCACTAGAGGTCTCTAAACATAATTAGGCTAGTTTCAACATTTACTTATTAATTGCTGATTTCTTTGGAGAGACCGTTCTTTCATGCCCGATTCTCAACAGTGCACTTTAACCCCCTGTCAGAATAAAAATAAAGATATCATTGTTTTCGTGCCCGGAACAGATATAATATCTCCAAATTTCCATTCTTATTCTGCGGTATACATGCTGCAAGTCACTTTTATAGAATACCGAAATCGAAAATGATCAATTTTGAGATGGATATACATCTTTAATCTTTTTTGCTCAGATGAAGGTTTAGGTACTGTTGTGAATCGGACATGTCACTTAATAAAAGGAAAGTCACTATTACTATTTTTGTTCATATCTCTGAATCATGAATTAATGATTTGATAAGAAAAGTGAAAAATATGATATCTATGATGTGTTTAGATTGAAGATTGTAAAGAGTTGTCTGTAGAGAACAGATTGAAGAT